TGCATTTCTTATTTTTCTTCTTTTGAGCGGTATTGTGCTGGACGGGGCTTTTATAATCATATTCCTTGAGTTGTTCTGTTGTGCCCAGAAGGTAATTGGATGACTGATCAGTTGGCTTGTTTAAAAGAAACTCTGTGCAAAAGGCGTCTCTAATGTCTAATGAAAGAAAATGATTTCAGGAAGGGAAAACCGAGGTTCCTTTTGGGGTTGGAATTTAGGCTCCCACTTTGCCCAGGGCTAGAAGTCTCAAGGGTAGGGCCGAATGTGCAGAACCTTGGAGAGCTCCTCCTGATCGTCGCAAGGCTTGGCTTGACTTGGGCTTGATTCCTCGAGGGCCAGAGCACATATTTGAAGGACAGGCTCTGGGCCTTGCCCTGTGTCTCCACTCCAAGAACCTTTTGGGGAGAGGAAGTTGATCATGCAGTTGAGTTGTTGTCTGTGGAGAGCTTCCGTGGACTTCAGTGGAATTTTTCTCATCCACGTTGGTGTCAGGCTGGCGGCTGATGCTCAGAGTTGACGTCATTGCACAGCCATCCTTGGCAGGCAGGGACTGGGTATATAATTCTAGTTTACTGAAAAGGACCAGGCATGACATGACCGCAGGGTTCCAATATTTGAGGGGCTGCCACAAAGAAGAGGGGACAACCTATTTTCCAAAGCACTTGAAGGCAAGACAAGCAGCAATGGATGGAAATGAATGAAGGGGAGAACTAACCTAGAAGTAAAGAGAAATTGCCTGACAGAACAATTAATCAGTGGAGCAACTTAACTTCAGACGTTGTGGGTGCTCCAACACTGCAGCCTTTTTAAGAAGAGATTGGACAATCAATTTCACAGCCTCCATGAAGGGGGTTTCAACTTTCCTCTCTAGTTTACCATGGGGATTTCTTGGTGGCCTTCCAGCCAAATCCTAATTAGCTCCAATAATGTTACTTTAAAAAGAAACAGCTAAGGAGAGGTGCTGAATTAAGTAGAGTTACTTTAGCATATTCTACAAAGAGGGAGAACTTGGAAGCACAGCTGCTCCCGTGTTCACTGGATTTCAGTCAGTGAATTTCAAATTCTTGCAGCAGAATGCCCTCAAGCAACCCAATGACTCAGTTGTTCCAAACTTTGGGACATACATAGTAGATCAGACTCTTCCTTGAAAAACCTCCTCCTGACCCTCCTTCATTTATTTAGAATAGGATTCGTGCTGAACAATTTGCGACTGCAACTAGCAGCTGAACAAAAGAGGCTGACACCAATCAAACCGTTTCGTACGCAAGGCAGCGGGAGTGGCTTTTGATATTGAAATTTTTCCCTGAATGTGGGGATATGGCAGTGCATAAATGCATCATTCATGGTGCTGAATTCAGCCAGTGGTGTGAGAAACAGGGCTGCTTCAGGAGGGTGCAGTTCACTTTCCCTGGCTATGATCGTCTTTTGTCAGCCTCATGAAGGGACAGGCAGATGGAAGGAAGGGAAGAGAGAACCCAGAGCTCCAAAGGGTTCAAAAAGCCTACGTTGAAAGAAATGGTTGCTTGGAATTTTAAAATGTAAAAAGGAATAGAATAACAGAGTTGGAAGGGACCTTGGAGGTCTTCTAGTCCAACCCCCTGCCCAGGCAGGAAACCCTACACCACTTCAGACAAATGGCTGTCCAATCTCTTCTTAAAAGCCTCCCGTGATGGAGCCTTCACAACTTCTGGAGGCAAGGAGTTCCCCTGATGGATTGTTCTGACTGTCAGGAAATGTCTCCTTAGTTCTAGGTTGCTTCTCTCTCTCCTTGATGAGTTTCCATTCACCGTTTCTTGTCTTGCCTTCTGGTGCTTTGGAGGATAGGTTGAAACCACCACCAACCCTTGTCTTTGTGGTAGCTCCTCAAATACTGGAAGACTGCTCTCATTTCTCCCCAGTCCTTCTTTTCATTAGACGAGACATACCCGATTCCTGCAACCGTTCTTCTTATGTTTTAGTCTCCAGTCCTCTCATCACCTCGGTTGCTCTTCTCTGCATTTTTTCTACAGTCTCAACATCCTTTTCATAGTGTGGTGACCAAAACTGGATGCAGGACTCCAGGTGTGGTCTTATTAAGGCTTTATAGAGTGGGATTAGTACCTCCCTTGATCTGGATTGTATCCCTCTGTTAATGCAACTTAGGACTGCATTGCCTTTTTTGGCTGCTGCTGCACACTGTTGGCTCCTATTTAGCTGGTTGTCCACTAAGACTCCAAGATCCCTCTCATGATTATTGGTATTCAGCCTGGTTTCACCCAGTCTTCTGTTGTTTAAGAGCAAAAGGCAGGGTATTTAACTGAGGGGTGTGTCTGTGAGGGGGAGGGAGGGGGAGAGAGAGATGTGGAATAAAAGAATCCTTGCGAATCCGTTGTTTAGACTGAATGGCTATATTGGTTGATTTAGGTCGTGTCTCTACTTAACCGTATCACAAACATACCCTGGAATATTTTTTCCTGTTCTGTTCTTATGGTGTTGCCTTCATCTCGTTCTTTCTTCCCCCTTTCCAAACTGTCCAAGGCAGAGTCTGAAGGTGTTCAGATTTTACACCTCACTGGGTGGAGAGCATTAAAACTCTTCCCTTAGTGTGGCGTAAAAGAGTTGTTTTCGCTCAGTAGTGAAAAAAAGGACAGTTAAGCAAACATGAATTTGGATTCTGAAATCAATAGTTTTCAACATGATATTTGGAGAGACTGACTGCGACCAGCATTCCTAAAAAGTTGTGCTTGGTCCATAAGGAAAAAAATGCCTAGATGTTCATTTCTAAATGTCATTTTGAGGTTTTTTTTTTCAAAAAAATTGATCTTTTTCTGTAACTTAAAGCAACTTTTGCTTGTTACCTGGATCCTTTTCCAAAAGAGGAAGTGTGGTAGAGCGCATAGAGACCGGGACCATGCCTCTTCTCCATGCATGGATGTTTCCATGCGGGAAACTCTGAGGCTATAGGCTTGAATGGGAAATTGAAAAAGCACCCCGGAAAAAGAGAAAAACCACTATTCATTGTGTAGCAAAAGCCCCGAGACCTATACACTGCTCCACGGTGCTTTTCAGTCTCTCTAAGCATTTCACAGACTCAGCCTCTTGTCCCCCCAAAATCTGGGTCCTCATTTCACCCACCTCAGAAGGATGGAAGGCTGAGTCATCCTGGAGCTGTTCAGGATTGAACTCCAGGCTGTGAGCAGAGTCAGTCTGCAATACTGCCTTCCAACCACTGCACCACCGGGGCTCAAGGGTTAGAATGGACCATTGTGGAAACCCTGTGGTGGTATCCATGCTGTCGGGACAAGAAGCTCCACTTCAAAGGAGGCGGGATATTTTAAGGAGCTGGTGCTGAAATACTTTGGGCCAATCACTCTCTCTCTCTCCACCTCACAGAGTTATTGTTGTGGGGAAAAGAGGAAGAGGGCGGTGTGTTGGATACGTTCACTACCTTGAGTGACTTATAGAATAATAAGATAGGACAAAACTCTAATAAACAAATACCAGAGTGGTTTGCATTCCTTGAGATAAGGCTTACAGGAAAAGCTTGGTGACAGGATCATGTAATTCAGCCTTTTGATTTATTTGTTGATCTTCTGTTGCGTTCTAATTCGGTTCTGTGAAGAGAAGCCATTTCAGAGCAAAAGAGCACCAATGCAGGAAAGTGCTCCCTGATCTTAGCTCCTATCAGCTGTCCTTCCCTAAAAGACCAATGGAGCACCCGCAAAATCAAGAGTTCTGTGCTCCTCTCACTATGCGCTTCTATCAAATACATGGGCTGTTCGTCCTGTCCCAGTTGCAGTTTCCATAGAGTCTCAAAGGGCGATCAATCCCACGTGAAGTCGTTCAGCCAGGTGGTCCTGAGGGCATGAATGACTGAAGCCAGGTTCTTCTGCCTCAGATAAGGGTGCAGTTGGTGCATATTTATTGATATAAAGATCCTGACCATATCCCGATTAGATCCCTGTAATAGTCTTTATAACGTTGCTTCAAGAAGCATTTGTGACATTTCAGTTGATAGCAAGTGAGATATTGGCTTGGCTCATGGAGTCCTCAGCCCTGTTTTATCTGCACTGCCTTCCAGTCTCTTTCCAAACACATCTCAAATTGCAGATCTTTCCAACATCAAAGAATCTGGCATAAAGCTATTAAGAGGCCTGTTTTCTCTCACGTGGCCCTTTCCTTGTGCTCAGGCAGCTCTTACCTCGTCCCAAAATCCAGTGTTTATACATTTGGCCAGGGGTGCTTCCCACCCATCTTGTGAAAGTTAAAGGCCCAAGATGTTTAGGCCCCGAACTCTCTTCTCTTAAGTTTTCACAGGTGGCTGAAAAATATGATTTCCATGAAGCTTTCAGTGTGGGCTGAAGACTTTCCCCATGCCTAAGGCCAAATTACAATATTCTAGGTTTTATTGTTGTTATATAGTATTACTGTGAGAGTGAGGTTCATGGCTGGACCTTTTCAGTAGGTCCTTTTGACTTTTCTTTGATAAAGAGAAGTGGAACATAAATATCTAAATTCACTTAGAACTATGAGTCTTCCTTTATGAGGGCCACAGATGCTTTCTTGGAGACAAGTCTGATATTGCTTTGTTAGCTTTGGTTTTCTGCGGATACCCAGGCATATTTGAGGCCCCCTAAACTGGCTTTTTCTTAAATATTTATCTAAGGTGAGAAGGGACTTCAGGTTGAGACCCTTCTGGTGGGTTGGAAGGATGTTTTTCTCTTTGATGGGGATGCTGTTTTTCTAGTGTTTTAAATTGCTAAAACTTCAGTGTCAGAAGGGCAGGACTGTTTCCAGGCGGCCTCTCGCCAAGCCCAACTGAAATGCCTCCGAACTCTGGATTTTTCTGCCTGAGAGTTGTGGGAAACAGAGAACGTTTTTGGCCCAAACTCCCCGGTTCTTTTCATCTGCTTCAGTTGGAAGGCTCTCCTCCGGGCTTGTCGCACCCAAAGTGGAGTACAGTGGTGAGATTCTACTCGTACATAATAGCATTGCTCACACAATGTGTGTTTCCTTGGCAGATGTCATGGCGGCCACAATATCGCAGTTCCAAGTTTCGAAATGTCTACGGCAAAGTAGCCAATCGAGAGCACTGCTTTGACGGGATTCCAATTACCAGGAATGTCCATGACAACCATTTTTGTGCAGTCAATACCAGGTTCCTCGCCATAGTAACAGAAAGTGCTGGTGGGGGCGCTTTCCTCGTCATTCCACTGGAACAAGTAAGTGACACTTTGCTGAAAGTATTATTATATACACAAAAAACGACAGTGTACACAGCAAACAAGATAACTATGCTTGGTTGTTTCTTCTTCTTCTTCTTCTTCTTCTTCTTCTTCTTCTTCTTCTTCTT